CGAGTCAAGCGCCCTAAACACTTAATGGAATTAAGAGTTTCTTGATAAATCCGGATAACTTTCTTTAACTCGTTATTATTAGAATAAAACAGGAAATAACACACTGTTAGTTAACAAGTTTATTCAAAAACGGAAAGTCTGATTGAGCACACAGTGACAAGTTGTGCGCGCGTGCCGTGACATGAAATTTTTTTAATATATATATATATATATATTTGGTTTTTGTAGGAGCCTTTAGCGATATCTTAAAACTTAAATAACTTAAGCTGAGTAGTTTATTCAATTATCTGAAGAACTAAACACGACTGGATAGCCTCCTGGTGTTCCTTGTTTGAAAATCAATGGTTAGTTGATTACCGTTATTCCAGTACAGTAATTCTCAAACTTTTTTTTTTTTGTGGGTCCTTCTTTGAAAAATATATGAGGCCGTCATGACCGCCACCACACGCATTTAATGATCTGTTTGTTTATTTATTTCTAGAGCAAAGCCACATTGGGCTGTCTGTTGTGGCCACCGCGGTGAATCGAATCCCGGATTTTAGCGTTGTAAGTTCGTAAACTTGTCGCTGTCTCCCCGGGAGATCGCAGACACGATGATAGCAAATTACTGTATATGTCCCAAAACAGCTAATAATTTCTACAAACCTATAATTCTTATTCTTTAAGAAATAAACATAGGTTTTTCAGAGAGTGTAACGCAACCCTACAGTAACATTACTTCGTGCTGAAAAATTGGGATTTTTGTTAAGTCTTGATACGTGAAAAATAGTAAAAATTCGACAAAATATCACTTCACAGTTTATTCTGAACGGTTGTTCTCTCGAAGTAAATTTTCTAGTAATAAGCTTTTAAAAAAACGCAAATATTATGTTCATTTTGATAAAAACGCCAAGCACCACCCACATAAATCGCAACTGCTGCTATCTATCGGTAGTAAAACTAGTTACAAATCCCTTTTACACATTTGTTTTATGTGAATTAATTTATTTTTCATTTTTGTTGAATATATTTATGGTTTTCAAGGTAACTCAGAAAAACAAAATTATTTTAAAGCAACACGGCTGTTACTCTTGGAAACCAAAATGTAGCATTATTTCCGTCACAAACTGAGGACGTAACTGTTTAATTTTTTTAGAGCAAACTTTCACTCACCTTGTACGATCACCTGAAAATTAGCTGTGGTATTACCATACTTGTTAGTGACGTGACAGTTAAATCTGTCCGTATCGTTCCTCTCGCTCTCAGCTATAAACAAAATGGACTCCATAGAACTTTCTCCAGTCTTCTCTTCAATAATATATCTTCAAAAGAGTTCAAAACGATCCACGATTAGGAATGCGGAAATGAAGAACGACCGTGTTCAAGAAACTAGTGTTAACGGTAACATATAGTAATCATTTTAACTTATGCTCATTAAACTATTATTATTATTTTTTTGTTCAACGTAAAACAAACCAAGGAGCTCAACGGTAAGTTGGAGGGTTTTATAACACTAAAATTCGGGTTTCGATACCTGCAACAGGCAGAGCACAGATAGTCCATTAAGTAGATTTGCGGTTAACAACCAACAAGCCCCCCTCCCCAGTGGCACAGCGGTATATCGGGTTTCGATACTCGTGGTGGGCAGAGCACAGATAGCCCATTGTGTAGCTTTGTGCTTCATTACAAACAAACAAACAAGTTACAGGGATTCGAACCCACGACCCTCAGATTGTAAGTCGAGTGTCCTAACCATTTCCTACCTCACTTAGGTTAGTAAGATGTTTCATCTTCACGTGAAAATTTAACCGCGTGTTTAGTTTTGACAATAGCTGTGAATAAATTCCTTTCGTTTAAGTTACCTATTGTTCTGGGTCATTTCCCTTTGGTGTCACAAAGACTTTCCTTTTGGAAAAATTGCTATATTGTAGAACACACTGTGCACAGTTGATATCTTCCAGTAGCGAATTAGGAAATACCCTGTTAATATATTCTCTATTTTGTTGCTATTGGAATGACCATCAGTAACGTGGATAGCGCATGCGCATAGAGAGGGACAATATTAAAGAATATTGCATATACTGCTGTACTCTCATAGTATGAACAAGCTTAACAAAGTTTCTATAAGTTCTCTCTATATTCAAGTTCTTCTCACCAGTAGCTAATGAAGCGCTACCTATCGTCAACTTTAAAAAGTTCAATTTTTACGTTAGGTCTGTTCTCTGTCTTCAACTCAATCAGACTGACAGAATTCATATTTATGTCAGAAATAAATAAAAACCCTATAACCCGAGCGCTTTCGAAATGTGGACCTTTCTTCTTCAGGGGCAAACTGGGAATACAGTTTTATGTTAGTTATACATATCCTGACGTTCCTTAAGTTGCTGAAATTAATACATTTATTTCTGAGGTTATCAGTGCTCCTGAGAAAACCATTACTACAAACGTTTCAGGGTTAAACACCGGCAGCTGGCAAAGCCATATGCCTAAGCAGTAATATTGATGATAAAAAGCCAACCAACCAGAGTACAGATGTTTCATTTTCTTTATATTTCTTGCCTCAATTCACTTAACAACAGTTTTAATACGAATAATTTCTATAAATTTTAATTATCAATACAATTTATTAAGAAAAATAACTACATCACCACCAGGCTGTATACTTCAAACGAAGCCAGTCTAGTTTACTTTCCCTCTCGTTTATCGCTTCTAAATCAGGGACAGCTTTGGGCAAAATTCAAGAAAACAAACAAACCTTATCCAATTTTTCATCTCACGATCTGATTTACACCGTCCAATCAAAACTATTGGTATAGGTGAGCTTGCGCTGCCCCCTTTTTTTTCTTTTATACGGATGTTGATTTATAAAATAGCGGAACACACGCGCTGTTGAAGCGAATAAATTTATCGATTGTTTTTGGAATTTCGCGCAAAGTTACACGAGGGCTATCTGCGCTAGCCGTCCCTAATTTAGCAGTGTAAGACTAGAGGGAAGGCAGCTAGT